TTTTCAAACATAAATGGGATTCATATATAGAAGCTAAATACTACATATGAGAGCATTCTGCTTGGTGGTTCTGAAGAAGAAGATTTTCAAGTGTTTTTTGCCGTTTTTAGGAAAAACAAAATGGCGGGAAAAGTCACATGACCGCTAAAGTTTTTATTGCTGATATTTATTACACATGAGTTGTACTATATACCATAAAAAATCTAGACGCCTAGACCCTCAGAAAGTGGTCAAACAGCCACTTCCGGTTTTATTTCAATCCAATATGGCTGCCAAACTAATTGTCCAATCGAAATTCTGAAAGCATGTTGCACCAGTTCACATTATGGACTATCAGTATAGAGCATTATCAGACCATTCTGTTCAGCGGTTTTCTCAAACGGCTTGACGAAAAAAGTTACGGAAGAAAGAAAGAAAGAAAAAACTGAACGATAATAATAGGGGCCTCGCCCTTTGGGCTTGGGCCCCTAAAAATGTCACTGTCCAAAAACAGGCATAGTGTACAAACTTCAGGAGGTGGTGGAACACTAAATGACATGTCATGCAAAGGGTCTACTATAGACTTTTTGCATGTTTCGTATTTTGAAAGCCGTCGCCTAAATATTAGCGGCCAAACTGATACTTCTTCAACAGTTCGCTGTTAATACATAACCCCATGGTTAATATTATAGAAAAACATTACGAATGACGTCATATGAATATCATTAATAAGTAACACACAAAAGGTCAAATGTATCATGCAAATTCAGTCAAGGGCTCTAGGCGTGTCATATCTGTTTCGTCAACTAAATAAAAAGGACCGAATTTACCTCCCGAGAGGTACCAAACACCCCCCGGAGGTTCCCGGGAGTTGTTTAGTGGGACCCGACCCATGAATGTACGAGAGCTATCGTGTACGAAACTAGATCATGTGGTCGATTGTATTATTAGCTCTTGGCCTACGCACGATGTGTGTCGAATTATATGACACTCATTGGTGGTAATAAAAACATTCTTGCAGTTTTGTTGCGCGCACATTCTCTGGCAATTTTCCCTTCATCTCAATTCGCACCACAGACGTCACTCGAGCAAGATAGGTGTAGCTAGGACGTCATTTAGTTCATGACCAGACGAGTTTGCCAATTCAATTAGTAAAAGAGATGGATAAAAATGAAAAAGAATAATATTACGCACCATGGATTGATACGCATACGAAGCATACAGCTCCATGTTGATCTGCTTATTTACAGCGGCCTCGCACTCGGTGTGATAGTTCTGGCGACACTGGGAAGTCATGTTGATGCTCTTCTTGATGTAAAATCGTAGTTGAATAAACAATTTCGGTTGTTTGGGTTAGAAATCCGTTTCGTTCAAACACTGTTGACGCGGAAACACAATTTCTACTGGAACAGAATGGAACGAAAACAGACCGTGGCGAGTATTTTATTGTGGGTGGCTGTCACTTCTATTGACAACACTCCATTGTTCTCTCTGGTTGAACCCGAAAATATGCAAAATTGCCTCTCTATTTGCTACTCACTATTCACACGTTGTATTTTTCAATTATATTTCTTTTAGCTAGTAAAGCTCGCTATTTGCGAAAAAAGAAACAAAAGATGTTAAATAGAGATGATACAGGCATTTAACAGGGGAGGATGCAACGTTAATGAAACGCTCGAATGTGATGATATTTTATTGGTTGTCCTTGTAACGAATAACGTCATTGGCTATAACTGCTCACGTGATATAATGCTACAATGTCGTCGACGTCATCGAGGTTTGTGCCTTGCAATGGGTTAATAAGGTTTAATAATGGGTTAATAATAATAATCTTTATTGTTATCGTATTCTCTATGGGACTTTGATTATAAAATACAATAAAGTTATAGCAATGAAAAAAGTATAAGAGTATAAAAAACAAAGTTATTAATAGAATATAATAAATTAAAGTAAATGTTTTTATTTATTTTGAGGCAGCTGGTATTATTTAGTAGTTGTTCTCTCGAATTTTAAAACAATCATGTATATACTTAGCAATTTGAGGAGCCATTTTTTTGTTTTTTTGTCTTTGTTTGAGAGGTAGTAACAAATGTTTGAGAACTCATTTTTTTCTTTTTTATAAAGGCTGCATTCTAAGAAGGAAGTGCTCTTCATTTTCTATTTCGTTTAATCGTGGCGGTATATTACCTCCATGGTTTAATTGACAAAACTGACATTTTCTTTTTGAAATGTCAATGTTTTTATGTCTTCCAGTTTCTATTTCTAACGCATGAGCACTGATTCTTAGTTTGATCATGGATGACCTGTGGACGGGATTTTGCACAGTTTCTAAATATTTGTCAAAAGTGAATTTTGTTTTTAGATGTATGTATGTGCGGAATTTATTCTGATGTTTTGTTCCCTTATTATCATCATACATTGAATCTAAACAGTATGTTTGAAAGTTGGCTACAAGCTTTTCAGAGACTTATTTAGGCAGCTTTTCATCTTTATTATGGGCTTCTTCCCAAATGTGACTCATGTTTAAATGAATCAACAGTTCTTTATACCAGATGTCCAATTATAGATGTTTAAATTACCGAAATGAATGCCGAGTCCATAGGTTTCTGAAAGAAGTGTGTTGTTCTTTGTTTGTTTGTTTGTTTTATTTTACACTAATTTTACACTTTATACTACTACTAATAATAATAATTTATTGACACAACACCGATATAGTACAATACGGCAGTAAATACAACAATTAACTACATTTAAAATAGAATTAACATAATAGCTAATGGATATCTTCCTGGCTCTAATAGGCAAGCAAGATTGATAGTTTTGCAGTTTACTCAGAAAATAGATTTACTAAATTTTACCTGCCATTTTTCCAAACAGTATAGCGGTTGGTAAATTATATTTACTTTATTAGTCTACCGGGTCCTGAAAGTGTGACTCAGCACTTTGATCTGGGCTTGGCATGGGACCAACAACGATGAACTTTTACCTTTTTCCAAAAGTCATTGAACTTTGTCGTTCAGGTTTGTATTAACAAGAATGAGAACAAAGTATTCCAGTATCGAAATGTTGACAATTATTCAAAGAGCTTGTCAAAAACTTAAATCAGAAAATGTTAACTTGTCGTTTATTCAAACTTGGTATGAACATGGAAGGTACGAATATGGTATGAATATCACACATACAAGTAACTGTCGGCCATGTTGATTTTATTTCCATGTGTCCTTACCACAGTCGTCCTTACCCATTTTTCAAACATGCCTTGACGGATTTTGTTCAAAATGGGTACAAAGACAAGACACAATGGAACAAGCCGGTAGCTGAGATTGATTGGCGATTCGCTCATCTAAAAAAAATGTTTTCGTTTGTTGTCATGGCAATGATAGGAAAGAATTTTGCCCCAATTGTTTCCACCAACTAGACTCGTGAATGCGTAAAGCAATGTGTGATTGACGTGTACATGCACCACGCCTTGCTATAAAGAGGGGGACAAGTGTTATTTTCGTTCAACGTAATTGCAATATTTTTTTGGTCGTACAACGTAAATTGAAAAAGTAAATTCCGTAATTCTGTAATCACAGACTAGACGTACAACGTAATCAATCAAATATTTTTTTCGTACACTGTAAAAATGTGTCATTTTTCTCCGTACGTACAAGAATTTTCTAGGTTTTCTTTTTTTATTTTCCGTAAAATGTAAAAACGTCTTTTTTTCTTGTAAATTGCAAAAAGCCCTTTTTATTTCCCGTAAAACTGTACCAGCTACCCCCTTGCCCCCTATATATAAGTGTTATTGGCTGCATTCAACAAGCCGCGTCGTCTTGTTTGCAGTTTTTGATTGGAGGTTTATTAACACCACTGCTTTAACCAATGAGTTCGGGGGTAAATAACGATTTTGGCTAGAATTTAATCTGTGTCATGTGCGTGTCAATCCAGTAAAAGCGTCAACTCAAAAATAAAATAGTAATTTTAGGCACACATTCAAAGAGGACACATTTAGCGCGAAGATACGAGCAAAAAATAAGTTCTCAGCCGTTGTCATGTCATGTCAAATTTTTCCACCTTTCTACAGTTCAGGTGTGATCTGCCTGTCAAGTTTGACCGAATATTGCACTTCCCCCAATCACAGAAAAATTAAAAAGCCGTTCCTGGTAAAAGGTTACCCCAACTTCGAGGTCAAATATCTCGGCATTATTCAATTGTACATGATGATTTAGACGTGCAAAGTCTATATAATTAACTGTCAATTTAGCCCTTTTAACGTGATCGCGAAAACTATCGTGACTGCTTGCTGCAGTTTAGCAGCTCTTATTGGCCGCTTAAGCTATTTTGATATTACGTTGCGGCCATAGTCTGGTCGCCCCGCAACGTATACCACGACCAAGAGAGCTGCATAAACTGCAGCAACGTGACTGCAAAATATATCCCGACTGGACGCATCTGCAGGCGACCCCCTGCGTTGGAGTGAAAACCGGAGCAGAATCACTCCGGTGATTATGCTAATTAAAGTTGTCGACAAGCATTGACAACGATTCAGAGTGTAGCTGTATACGTCATATCTTATCTATGTTAATGTACGTGACCTTTCACTTCCGATTAGTTATATCATTGGACTTTTACAGCGAGCGCAAGATATTTACATACACCCCATGCTAACGGGACAGTTAATCAAAACAACGGACCTGGGTTTCAGATGGGTTCAACTATTACAACGTGTAAGCGTCCAGTCAAACATTCATCAAACAATCATGTTTTACTCATTGTTGATATCGGACACTTTATTATTTCAGGCATACATATGCTCGTTCATTTAAATAAATTCTATTTTGAACGTTTCGCGAAAAAATAAACATAGTCGATACAAATATTTTAAAACGCCCCTAACATGCAAGATATTGATGTTGTCACCATTGTAAACTCAAGTAAAATAATATATAAGAAAATTTAGACTTTATTCATAAAAAAAATAAACAAATCATTTAAGAACCAATGGATCTTAGACATGCATAATGGTAATAGAAAACAAACCTTGGCTAAAACAAACAAAGAACATACATAATTTTTAAACAAGATTTAAAAATTGAAAATTACCTAATTAATATGCAGAACCATGGTCTTAGAAGGTTAATTGCAAAATTCAAGACAAGCAACCATGACCTTAAAATTGAGAAAGGCAGACATTATAATGTGCCACTGGATAAAAGAACATGTGATATGTGCAGCCAAAATACAATTGAGGATGAGCAACAGTTTGTAATGAATAATGAAATGTCCAGCTTACAGTCACCATAGGGACAAATTATTCCTGACTGCACAAAATAAAGTTCCAAATTTTGATAAAGAAAATAGTCACAATAAATTCAATTTGATTATAGGAAACCATACTCCTTAGCTGCCTTCTTAAAAACAGCTATGGAACAAAACAACAACAACTATCAGTGTATTAGGTTACATTTTGTGTTCATTCTATATTCTGTATTCACCATTGGCTGTAAATTGTCTTTATTGTTTATTCATATTTGTTTTTGATTTGTTTTATATTTTTAGAAAAATTTTTTTTTTCCTTTTTAGACTTTAGTTTTTTTAATTTCTTTCTGTAAGACCCTTTTTATCCTTTCCTAAGGATTTTATGCGTCTAATAAATTATCCAGTATCTTGGAATCCATGCAATACAGTACAATAAACAATAACACTTTATTATCACCATAAAGAAATTACAATCTTTTTGGGCTCTGGGTAATAAGGTAAAGTTAATGAACATGAACACAAATTAATTATCAAAAAGTATCAAAAAAAACAAAGAAAGTTACTAAATGCTTCTTATCAGGTTTGCATTATCAATGTATTGGATTTAGTGTTTTCAGTATATGTTTGTCTGATACATTGATGATTGTCTTAAATTTATCTGTTTTGTCCATCTCATGTAAATTAGTAAATATTAAAGAGTTTTTCTTTGAGAAGAGTAAGCTTTACAAGATGTAATGAAGTGGATTTCATCCTCTAATACATTGCATGTTTTGCATAGTCTCTTGCAGAGTGCTGTTTTTGGACGAGTATGTCTTCCTATTTCGATCTGTAATTTGTGGCAGCTAAGCCGTAATCTTGCCAGGGTTTCAATATTATGGAGTTTGTCCTGTATGTCCATTGTTTTGCGTTCTCTCTGCTATTGTCTTAATATCATAGTTTATTGTAGTAGTCTTTAGATATCTGATATAAATGGTCTTTATTAATGTTATCGATGTAAATGTTGTATGTTGTTTTGATGTTGTTGAGTTTTTGCAGCCAAGAGTTATGATAACATTGTTGTTTCAAGGCGTCATATGCAAATGTTATTGACCCACTCTTGGTGATGTGCTGATAATATTTTATGGCTCTTTGTTGTACTATCCGATATTGCTGCCTTTGTTGTTTAAGGATAATATCTGGCGACAGAGTCTTGGGTGACATTTTCAGTGTCTGTGTATGTATGTTGTATGTTAATATGTATTCCTAATATTTATGAGCCATATAATTATATTGGTTGTTGTATAGCATCAAATAGTTTGGTCTTCAATCTGATGTTGTTCTTGTTTTTTGGGTAGATTGTTGATAGATTACGCTCTGCTTGTTTTGCTTTATCTGCCAGTATTTGTGTTGTTTTTGTCATGGTGCCATTGGAGTTGATGGTGATGCCCAGATATGTGAACTGATTTG